ACCTAAAGTTGCCGCTGAAATTGTTGTTGCCGAATTCGCAGAATGGCATTTGCCATCAATCAACGTATGATATACCGGACATAAGCAGTAGCCTCGAGCACATCGAGTGCCACCACTGCATTCTCTGTCATCTCGACATCGAGTCACATGATAGACTGACTGAGCTGATGCCATCGATCTCGAGCCTTCTTCTACATCAGATCTCAAGTTCACCCCAACTGGTGTGGGCGACTGTCTGGATTTAACCGTCTGTATTTGATTCACCACCGTTACTTCGTCAGCCGGTTTGACAATCTCATCAACCACATTTGCCTGATCTGACTTGAGATACGCATCATTGCTAACATCTGATGTAGAATTTCGACCGTTAGGTATAACTTGATCTGATCTGCTTTGAATTTGGCTGCCCTGTTTGGACAGACGTTCCGTATTTACGACACGCCTTTGATTTTCTGCTGAAATGTGTCCGGCTGAACGCATTTGATGGGATGTCTTTCGCTGAGTTGACGCGGCGGGATGTGACACCTGCGATATGATGTGATGACCGATTATCGTGAAAGGTGAATCTGTTGGAGTTTCAGCTGCTTCAATCGGACGTTGTGTATTGGAGGGAGTTCGAGTGATTGACGCGTATGGAGCAAACGTTGGTGTTTTGAAAGAAGAAGAAGAATGAGTTGAACCACGTAATAACATCGACAGTGGTTGGACACCGACTAAATAATTGACTGTTTGAATCATTAGTAGCTGATTGATAATTGCAAGTAAAATAACCAGCACATAACAACGATACATCAAGTGAAGCGACTTTTCTATGAAAATACAACTCAAGAGTTCTTGAGTTCAGCACCTTTCCTTCAATAGAAAAACAGCATTTGAAATAGAAAACAGGAATAAATCAACAGAGTGCCTTCAGAATAAATGAACATAAGGCAATTAAAGCACGGGCAAAATGCACCGTTAGAAGTTAAAAGTGAATGGATGTCAGTTCAGAAGATGAGGTATCTTGTTGGTAGAATAAATACGGTGAACTAGTGTGTAAGATGTGCGAAAATGCGCGAAAACATGAATGGATCCTTATGGTGGATCGACTCAATGAAGTTCTAAGGAATTTCTGCGATTCGTACACGACTGAATCAAAGATGAAATGTTACCTTCAGTGGGCGGTTGACATTTTC